CCGCCCCTCCCGCGCTTGTGCTTGCGGGCTCGACTCACTGTGTCGTGTTTTAAAAAATATATACACATGTATATGTATATGTATGTGTGTGTACATATATACACAAATATACACCTGAATATATACTGGCAAAATGTGTGTGTGTGTGTATACACGTGCACATATATTGCATGATTTACATATATATATATGCACATCTATTGTATGTGTGTATGTATGTATTTATATATTGTATGCATTGTATGCACATATGTACTTATGTATATATATACACATATATTGCATGATAGATATTTGCCAGTATGTGTTTGGGGAGAGGGGTATATGTGTGTGTGTGTGTGTGTAATATAAGTGTGTCTGCATGTGTGTATTTGTGCACATACACATGTACACATATACACAACATATTTGCAGTATATATTTACGTGTGTGTATGTGTGTACATACACACATACGTATACCGGCACGTATTATATATGTAATATATTAAAAATATTTAAAAATATAACATTTTAATATATTTAAAAATACAACACACTTTGGTCAGTGTATAAGGTGCAAATCTACCCTGCCTTCTATTTTTCTTGTGAATCGTTTGCACCTCATAGTGCTTGGCACTGCAGCTGTGGCACTGGTTAATCTCGAAGGTGCAAATCCATCCTGCCTATGTATCTACATAGATATAGATCTATGTCTATATTATGTATATTATACAGTTTTCAAGATATATTCAATAATATTGAAAACTGTACACTTCAAATGTATAATTATACACTTTTTAATATTATAGATAGATAATATTGAAAGGTACATAATTTTCAATATAATTGAATCCAGCAATCCCTAGTTCAGAAAAAAACCCATAGCTGGTCAGACATCACCTATATATATATAATTGAGAAGTGTATAATACATGTACTATTTAAAGTTTTAATATACTGATATATACTACATAAGTGCCATAATGTTATATAGATATATGCATAGGTATCTCACATGATCTAATATAATGTATATTATTATAATGCATATAATACAATAATATATTGTGTGTGTCAGGCTTTTGTGAGGTGAAGTCCACTTCTTCAATTGCTATAATTTCATATAGGAATCCATTGTGTCAAAGACCTTCCAACCTGGTGTGGGCTTTCTTGAGTTTTTTGCAACAGAAGAATGGCTCTAGTGTTTTCCTGTCATTGAAAAAGACTATGCATATAAACCATGGACGTGAGGGATCCGGTCTTGCCACACAAACATTCATAGCTGTGGGAAGACACAGGCTTCCTTTCCTTTCCTTAATACTGTAGATCAGGCCACACTGCAACTGGAGGGCAAAGGAGAAATCCCTTTATACGGAAGATTCTGACAATCTCTATAAACATGAACAGTGAAATACAGGACATCTAACACATGCTCCTCAGTGATCCCAAGAGAAAGGGGACAAAAAAGACTGGTAGGCTGTATTGTTGGACAACATACTACTGCAAGCTTTAAGACTCTTCAGTTCCCAGGTGTTCATTTTAAAAAGGTCCCAGCTTCAACCTCTGGAACATGTCAAGCCACGTAGAGCCAGGTAAATAACTTTGATTTTGACATTCACTAATAAAGTTTTAAGTCTGCCTTCTGCTGCATGTACAGACCCCAAGGGAATCCTACAACACTGCAATACGTAAACTGCGGATCTGAGCAAATGCTCTATCCTGATGTTGCGTGCCTTCCAATGCACAAGGCAAATTGCACGGAGCTGTTCCTCAGCATCAATTAGACATTCTTGAGTTGCACTAATATAAAGTACTCAGTGCACATAGGCAGACACTGGGCCCTTCAGTTTAGTTTTTCAAATGAAGTTAACATTGCTCTCAATTTATAACTGCTTTCCAAGTCTGGTGTATCATGTGTTTAACATGTATTTCCCCTCTATTCGGGGCACAGTCAATAAATGCTTCACCAATTTGGTCCTTCTTAAACTGGTCTCTGACTGCAGTAAATGGGATAACTTGTTTACTGGCATTCTCCAAGAAAGCTACCATTTTTCTCCGAAGAAATAACAAATGGTAAATGTGATATATTTATATCAATCAAAGGCTCTAAGAAAGGTCGGTTTCTTCAGGAAAAGTGCTACAAAAAGCTGTGTGGGATCCATTATGAGCCAAGAGACCTAAAATTATGAAGTGCCATCACAATTATATACTTCCCCAAAATAAATACCCCATGTTATTGATCCATATGGCAGAAAAGAGACGTCAAATAGTCTTATACCATTTGAAGGAGCAAAACAGAAGACTGTCATGTTGCAGACAGTAAAACAATGTCACAGTAGCGTGCATTGGACTTCATGCCTCACAATATTGCTAACCTTCAGCATTCAACCATAAGTCAGGTCCCCACATCATGAAACTGGTTTGAGCGACTCGTTTTCATTTTGCTAAGGAGCAATTCTTACCTAGAAATGATGAAAGAGAATCTAGCATATAATCACAACTAATACAATTCAGAGCACTTCCAGAACACTTTTTGCAGCCTTGTCATAAAAATTGTCATGAAAATTAACAGCATAGGGACAGAAGTTTGTAACTATTACCATGATGATAAAGAAAAATATATATATCTGGCTTTCCCATCTCCCCTACAGAAGTTATTTACAAAGGCAAACTGATTTTTTCAAGGATTTTCAGAGCTGTACGAACACATAGCTGATGACTAATACAGTGGATCATTTTCTTAATTTACTTAAGAAGCATTAGCCCCAGGCTCTCTGGCTCTGGCTTTCTTCCAGTGTGATCACGGGTAAAATCCTTCTCTATCAAGGTCTACAGCAGCAGTTCTCAGCCTTGGGTCGTGACCCAAATGAGGCGGGGGCAATGCCAGCAGCGCCACACACAAAAGACAAGCTGTGCTGCATGCCAGGAGCTCCCCCACCCCTGGGCTGCTGCTGCCACACTCCACTCCCAGCAGCAGGTCATGGAAAAATAAGGTTGGGAACCACTGGTCTACATCGTGGCAGTAACCACAGCTTTACTACTCATTTGTGGAATATACTTTACCCTTGAGATGCTAACATTGCCTTACATCCACAGTGTTTTTAAGTGCTTCCACAACTCCTTTGAGTAATTTGGAGGAAAAAAAATAAAGTGTCTGATTTCCTTCAAACTGTAGTGGTCAGTCCCTTTTGAACACAGACTGCCACATACATGATCCAGAATAAAAGCTGACACAAAACGTATGTGTCATTGCATTTAAGTATTGAGGAGATCTCAACATGTAAGGTTGCATACAGTATAGTTTTGTCTACAGTTGCTGCATCTACATGAGATGCTGACTGCACAGCAGCTCATTATTACTGCGCAGTAGCATCACCTGGCACAAAGTGTTATGCGACACTGCTGCACAATAGTAATGAGCTACTGCACAGTCAGTCACCTAAAAGCTGTTTAGCATCGCTACTGTACAGTAACCGTGGTTATTGCGCAGTCATTTCGTATTCGTATAAATTTGTTTATACTTGTACTAAAAGACTGTGCAGTCAGCATCTCATGCAGACATGGCCAGTCAGCATTTCTGCAATATTTCATACTGTTGCTGAAGCCAGCTCAGCTGCATAATCAGAAGCTAATATATATTACATATATTACAATTAGAAGCTTTGGCTATGTTGGGAGACTGTCAGCTGGGAAACCTCAAAGACCTTATTGGATTTGGAATTACTGTCCATCGACATCAGGAGTGAGACAGGATTTCTTCTCAGAATTCTACCCAAACTACAAAATGGAATGACCCCCTTTGATACTGCAAGCACAAGCATATTATAGCATCACTCGCCTTAATAAAGTTAAAAGCAGTACCACTTTCTAGTTATTATGGGAAGCTAACAGAGTCCCCAAATCATCTTACAGCTCCGCTCTGCTATGAGTTTGTTGTATCTTGGTTCTGTTGCCCCCTTAGCAATCCCCAGTTCAGAGAAAACCCATACCTGGTCAGATAAGACCCAGATTTTTCCATTTTTTGCCAGCTGAACAACTCAAAATGGGCTCTAGCTTAACAAAATCAGGGCCTAGAAAAAGAATATAGGTGGAAAGAACGGTTATATTTCAGTTCTGGGATGAAACAGTCACCAAATAATGGAGGGAAAATAGCTAATAAAACAAGATGCATTTACACAGAGAAAGTTTTTCACTATCTTTTCCATATATCCTGTGTTACCATGGTATCTTACGTTCTCCCAGAGTTGCTTTATGTCCTGGTTCTTTATTTTACATTATAATTCAAATTCATTATGTATGTTTGAACTAGAAACTTTTCTTACCCCTACTATCTATATTTTTCATTTGCATGGTTGAGTTTGTATTACCTGTGTGCGAGGCGTTTTGTGCAGAATTGCCTAATTAGCCCTGCAGTAAACATCTCAGTGTCTACACATGCAGCCCTATTAGGCCACAGCAAACTAATAAACTCCACAGCACACTAGTGCTTGTAAATAAAAGTACTATCCCTCTGTGGAATTTGTTCATGTGCAACAACGTGCATATAGATGTTGACAGGGCTGGCTGGGGC